CAATTTCGATTTACCTTCGAATTAGTACGATTTAGCTGCTATTTTACGAGATAAATCATCTCATCATACTAATAAACTTAGTTAACAAGTTCATTATTCAAATAACAATACAAAATAACAAATTTTCAAATCTTCTAATTGAGAAGAAACCATTACACAAAGAGGTTTCACAACCTAATCTAATCCTATACACTAAAATAGCATTAAACCCGAAGATCTTATCTTAAAAACTTGAAGATTCAATAGAAAACAGATGTGAAGATGGAGGTAACCATGGCTACCATTACACAAAGAGGTTTTTCACAATCTAATCTAATCATATACACTAAAATAGCATTAAACCCGAAGATATTATCTTAAAACTTGAAGACTCAATAGAAAACAGATGTGAAGAAGGAGGTAACCGTGGCTCTGTTTTTGGTTTCGCAAAGAAGAAGGACATGACGACGAACAAGCTATGAACCGTGACTTTGTTTCGAAGAAGTTATTGGTTGGTTGGTGGCAAAAATTGTTGGTATATTTAATTGGGGGTTGGTTTAATAAACAATAATAAAATATGAAAGGGTAAGGTGGAGAAAATTGTGGGTTTTGATAAAGTAGAGATTGTTAGATTTAGATGGAGACTATTTATTGATTTTCTATCACTTGTGGGAGGCGTTTTGTATATACATTTTACTGAATTAAACACAAAATTGAAATTTAGCTTGAGTAGAAAAAAATTGATTCCAACGTTTTGAAAAATAAAATGTGGCTTGCTTTTAAGTTTTAACCAAACAAAAAACATGTGGCTTGCGGTATAAGAATGCGAGGTGGAAGGCATTATTCATTGGAATATGCTCGTGAACAATTCAAATTCCATCTCCATAGAAATTTTTCGAAGATTAGTGGTTAAGAGCATGTTTACTTATGATATTTTGTGGGTTTCAGCCCATGAAATAATATTAAAAATAATATTTTGGGCTGGATTTTGAATGAAACGGATCAGTGCAATGAGTCTGGTGGATCGGTTCATCTTGGACACGTGTCATGCTCTTAGGTTTCGTTTCTTCTTTCTTAGTTTTTTTTTCCCGATCTGGAAGTGAAGAACAAATCCTTTGAATTAGATCGTTGATCTGAAAATTATGTATACAGTGGTGTCTCTTTCCCCTTTTTTTTTGGGTGATTTTTGTTTTTTTGAGTGATCTCAATGCCATATCATATGAAAATCCAACCGATCGATTCCGATGTATCGGACGATCTACTATACCTTTCCCAGAGACGATGAAGCAAATGTCGAAATCGAGGCTGACGCCGAGCGCCAGTTCACTATGAAGAGCGCAACCGAGAAATTCGCCGTCGGCGATGTGGATGCGCCGCTTTCAAGAGGTAACTCGAAAAATTTCAAGCCGAGCTCGGTTTGTTTGGCGAAGATGGTTCCAGATCTGGATGGTTCTAAACTTCATTGAGGATAACAACAACGGGGAGAAACAGCGGTGTGGTCGTAGCCGCTGCAACTTCTTTACCGGGAGTGGCACTGATAGCTTTGATGATGAATGTGAGCTGTATGATGGTCGGAAATGTTCTTCCGGTGAAACTTGTTTTTTTTTATCATTGATGATGAATAAAAAGAATATTGTTTTTTCATTCTATTGATACTCATTAAATTTTACTATTAAACATACAAATCTTACAAAAAATC